TTTTACCAAACACTACCAACTTTTACTTTATTTTCGTTAGAATCTACATTTTACTTTTTCTATTACACAAAAAGCACTTATTTTACCAAACACTACCAATTTTTACTATTAATCACTTTTTCCCAAAAAGTGCTTTTATTTAAACACACGTGATTGCAAACAGAGCCTAAGGGGGTGTTTGGATCTGATTCTCAAAACTAATTCTGCTCCTTTAGGGAGCAGAAGCAGAAGCTAAGCTGTAGTGTTTGGGTGAAATTCCAGAAGCACTTCTGGTGCTCTAATTTACTCCCAAAATCAGTTTTTTTAGAAGTTGGGGGGTACCAGCTTCTGAAAACTGATTCTGATACTGCTTCTGCTTAAAAAAAGAAGCAGAAGCAGAATCAGTTCCAAACACCCCCTAATTCTCGTGCCGGTCAAACTTGTCGGGACGGAGGGAGTATAATACAGTAGCTTCTTACCATTTTTATATCTCTTGGTATTAGGACAAATAATCATCCAATACAGGAGCTTTCTTACTATTTTTTATATCTCTCCATATCAAATAAAGGCTCTATCTTGAAGAAGCTTGTCATTCAGATCCATCGGTGTGTTAGTAGTGTACCTTGTCATGCTTGTTGCTTCAAAAATATCCATGACAAATGTTCTTGATTTTAATTAGGGGAATTTTGAGTTTGCACCCCACTTTTTGTGTGATATTGGACTTTGCACCCCATTTTCAAAACTTTTAGACTTTGCACCCCATCTACAACATTTTGTGAAGAAAAATTCCTAGATGGGGTGCAAAGGCAAAGACATTTTAGGGGAAATAGGGTGTAAAGTCTAAAAGTTTTGAAAATGGGGTGCAAAGTCCAATATCACCCAAAAAGCGGGGTGCAAAGTCAAAATATCCCTTTTAATTATGGAATTTCTGGAATACATAAATATCAAAATTATTTGTTTTTCCCTTTCAAGGGTGACATGAACAGTAGAACCCAGAACCCTATTGGATGCATTGGAGGATGGATGCTCCACTTGACCAGTTGACCCACACCTTCTTGTCAGCTCAAAACAACATTCTTCAAAGAAGGTCCAGTATTGCATGAAAAGTCATTTATAAAGAAAAAAAACGCTGAAAAAACAGATGGATGATGAAATGCTTCCCAAGTTCCCATGTATCACTGTGAAAACAGATGGATGATGAAATGCTTCCCAAGTTCCCATGTATCACTGTGAATAGGGGTGAAAGATTTGGTAGCATAATTGCTGTTTCTATTAGGATATAAAGTGCTTACATATTTTCACCAATTGAGACGACTTGCATTATAAGGACTTCAAATCAATTAGACTTAGAACAATGGTATGAAACTTCTGAAAACTAGAATTTTACAAGTTGGAATAAGTTACTCTTTTGATTTATGCTTGCTGTCGAAAATTTACCCTCTGCAAAGAAATATGGTAGATATATAATGCATATCTATTGCAACTATAAGTTTGCAGCTGCTAAATCAAATTGTTTATAAATTGCCCCCAGAACATCCAGTTGCAAGTGTTAGACCTTTACTAGATTCTCTTGGTCACACCCCTCTTCAGGTAAAATTATAATGCCTGTACATTTGATTTATTCGTGCGAGTCCTTGCATGTTGAAATAAATATGCTAAACTATGTGCTAGTTAGTTCTTCCCCCTTTGATGAAAAACAGGAAGATAATCTTCTTTGACCGAATTGGTTCAGGTTCTTTCTGATGCTTTACTTCGATGCCTAGTTTCATATCTAATGAGAAGATCGACTTAGTGACTAATTCTGAAACTCATCTGGGTTTCCGCTGGCACATCATTACTCTCTTGTGTATTTTAGACTTGGTAGAGAGAGTAGGGATCAGAGGTTTGATGGATTCGGGTCTGGTGGAGTTAATTTCACATGGAGATACTCCATCACAGTCCAGATAGAATCTAAATGAAAAGGCCAATTTTGAGATTTCATATGGACGATTCCTGAGGTAACTTGACTCCGCAAGATCCATGAACATTGTAAATAAAATTATAAGAAAACTTGTTTCTATTTAAAATTTATGGCTTAAGTAGACAATAGTGCATTATAAAGTATAAACTATACACAATTTTAGTGCAGAAAAATATTTCAAATTACTATCAACATCATGATTGTATTTTTACAAAATAGAACACTAAAATAGATTTTAAATTTTGGAAACACAAGGGCTTTGCCGCTTTAAAAAAAACAAAACTGGCCTAGATTAGGAGATCTAATGCTATGTCTCTTCACAGTTATTTTGGTTGCTGGCCAGGATTGTTATGGAATCTTATTGATAATACATTTTTATTTGAGAATATTAGGTTTTAAATAGTACTCTGTATGTTATACTAGTAGGCTAATAGCATATATGCATGAGTGTAGCTAGCAGGGGCAACCTAGACCCTGGCCCATCCCAAATTTCATTTTTATTTAAATTATTAAGGTAAACAATTGTGTAAAAAATTCAAAAATATTCTTTGTACCGACAGGCCAACCCTAACATAATGCCCTGCACATATGCAATTTTTTAGTTGACACCAGGTTATGTTTTCCCACAGGAAAAATAAGTTGAAGATCTCTTTCGATGATTGTAGTCATTGAATAGTGTGAATGAAGTATAATAGCGCTTATGCCTCATCAATAAGTTGATTTCTTGGCTGGAATGAACCCAACAATTTGGATATGCTTTAGTCATAAGACTTATTTTCAATAATGACGTATAACAGATTAACAGATAGTCATTTAGAACCATATATCGCTTCACAAATGTAGAGCCCTTGGAGGCTGAGATTTTAAATGTGGGTTTACAAACCAAACTTATTTTCATCAATTAATGTGCATGGCTAAAAGTACATATTCTTTATGGCAATCTATGTGTAATCAGTTTAGTATTTTAGCTTAATATATTTTTAACCAACCATACAATATTACACAATCTGAATGATGATGATGATTAGTAAATAAACTTGTGTGGGCCATAATATAACCACATGATATAGAAAATAATGTCATGCAACTATTATTGAATTCGCGTGAAAATCAAACGGGGTTTCCAGTTTCCACATTTGATATTAGAGTCATTGTCATATATAACTCTTAGTAAAATATAAAATATAATTAGCAGCAGCTATTCTTTTCTTTCCTCAATAATATAATGTCTAATATTCAGACTTTCATTTAGATTTGTACGTAATTATAGTCAATTTTATTCAGGCTAGTAAATGACGATATTGAAAGAATGATAAAAAGTTAATGATCAAACAACCTCGAAAACGGAAAATGCAAAATGCCATTCTTTTTCACAGAAAACGCTGCTTATTGCAGTGGTTGGGGGCTTGGGGCAGAACTGCTGAAAACGTACCAAACAACCCAAAAAACAGGATTTACTATTCACTCACATTTTTTAAACTAAATTTAAATTTAAATGACTTCATTGTTTCTTTCTGCACTCCTACAAAAGAAGTAGAGGCAGTGTACGTAGAGCTATGCTATAGGTACTCCAAAATGAGGTATCCCATTTTTACCCCACCCTAATGGGTGGCCATAAATGGAATAACTCATTAAGGGTCTGTTTGCAACAGCTTTTACTTTTTAAATAGTGTTTTTTTTAATGAAATGAGGAGAAGTGATTAAATAAAAGTTGATAGTGTTTGAGAAAAAAGTGATTTTAAAAAGTAAAAGTGGGTAGTGTTTGGTAAAATAAGTGTTTTTTGTGTAATAGAAAAAGTAAAAACACTTTTGACGCGGAAGCCGAGAAAAATAAAAGTTGTAGTTTTTGGGAAAATAAGTGTTTTTTTAAAGCCAAAAGCTGAGAAGTGCTTTTTTAAAAGGAGTTGCAAACCAACCCTAAGTGGCGCCTCACTTAAATGAGTTGCCCTATTTATGGCCACCCACTAGGGTGGGGTAAAAATGGGTACCCCATTTTGGGATACCTTTAGCATTTTACAAAGAAGTACTAGTATCAGCTTATTTTCTTGGGCCTAGAAAAGTCATATTGAAAAGACAATTAATCCTAGGATTATTAGCTAAAAATATCTCCAACTATCATCAAATTAACAAATCTATTTCATACTTTCACTTTTATTATGAAAAAACTCAAACTTCAATTTTTCTCACAATTACACTCAATTGATAAATTAGTAAAACTTAAGAAGAAAATCATATTTATATTTCATACTTTTTCACTTCTTTGTAGTTTTAAGTTTACAAACTTGTATTGCTTATATCTTACTAGTATTGATAAAAGGAGTAATTTGAGTTTGCATCCCATTTTATTGCCCAAATTGGACTTTGCACCCTTTTTTAAAGAAACTTTGTATTTGCGCCCCAACCCCGTATGAAAAGACAAAAATACCCCTCCATTAACAATTCTGTTAGCCTTCAACATATTCCTCATTGAGGGGCATTTTTGTCTTTTCATACGGGGTTGGGGTGCAAATACAAAGTTTCTTTAAAACAGGGTGCAAAGTCCAATTTGGATAATAAAATGGGGTGCAAACTCAAATTACCCCTTGATAAAAATATGTAATTTTGAGAAAAAATAAGCATAATTTTTAAAGAAGATGAAGTTTGAGTCCTTTTTAAGTGAAAGGACGGGATAGATTTGTGAGTTTGATGATAGTTTGGGATAAAATATACTAATAATTCTTAATCCTATTTGTGAAATATCATGCATGTTCTACACTTCAACTCAATTATTTCTACAATTTGTAATTTTTTGGAGGGAAAACAATTAATGCGTTTACTGCCCTAACGGGTAACCACTACCCGGCCATGTTAGTTCAGGTTGATCAGTGGGCCTATCATAAAAAATACAAGGAGCACAGCCTAGACACGTATACACGGCTCCTTTATACAAAGGCTACAAGACTTTAAATGTTCTTTAGGCTGTATAACTATTCTCTCTAATTAGCAGATTAAGCATGCCATGGAAGAAATCTATTAAGCTTATATTAGAAGTATATAATACTCCCCCCACACTTCCTTTCCAGATTAACTGCCTGAAGAAGGAAATTAAAATGGACACAAAAAACAAGTCTCAAATCCTAAACCTTCTTCTTATAACGACTCTTCTCATCATTGCCCCGCTCTTATCATCATCGTCATTAAGGATCTCTTGTCTCTACTTTGTGGTCAATCTTCTCCTCATTTATCTTGGTGCTGAAGCTGGCCTCCTCTCCTTGCCCAAGGAAACTACACATCATGAAGACGAACAGAATCATTCCACCAAAAACCCACGACTCATCATCACTACTAGTTTGCAGCAGGTGGCGGATAGTGTTCCTGACCAAAAGAGTGACCAAGAAACAATCATTGTTGAAGAGGTAAAGAAAGTAGTAGATGAGAAATGTGGTTCTGAAAAGCTAAAGTTTGTTGGGAGTATTATTAATGGAGATAAGAGTAGTTCAAGGAAATGCTCATCATCAATACCAAACTTGTTTTTCGTTGGTGGTTGCGGGGATCAGGTGGCTGCTGAAGAAGGCGATGAAGGTGGCTTTGTGGAAGAAGAAGACAAACAAGTAGGAGAGCTTAGTGGGCAAGAGTTATTTCATAAAGCTGAGACATTCATTATGGATTTCTACAAACAGTTGAAGATGCAGAGGGAGGAGTCTTACTTGGAGTAGCTAGCTAGGCTTACTTCAAGCTACATATATACACCTTTTTCATGTCTCTACAAATAAAAAGGGAGAACAGTATTATGAATCAGAACCAGATACACTCAAATAGAACCAACATTTTTTCACTTAAAAAAAGTTGAAGCTGTTTTTGTTCTTTTAAACGGATTCAAGAAATCATTTTTTGAGAATAAAAACATATTTGATCTTGCAGGACTTGGTTTATGTTATAGTTCTGTTTTAGGTACTTTGTTTGCAGACTATACGAAGTCACAATCAAACAGATCGGATCTCAAACTTAACACATGCAATCAAAGCAATAAGAAAAGTAAAAGACACACGATATGTTGACGCAGTTCGGAAGAAAACCTTCCTAATCTGCGGGGTTTCAACAGAGGAAACTGACATTCATGTAATTTCCATGTGTAAATTTGTGTTTTTAATTAGTTTAGAGTGAGTGTTACTTCGGAAATTACACACTTTTGGTGTAATAGTTTAGTTTGTAAAATATTTGTAATATGTTTAGATTAGGTTTATTCTGAGCTCAAACAGGTCCAAGAACATTTTGGGGACCATTGGTGAACACCACAAGTGGAAGGAAAGTGCAAAAATGCAAGACAAAAAGTGGAGATTTCGTTTTTGGTCTGTACCCGGTCGGGTATGACCTATACCCGATCGGGTACCCTTCTAAAAAATCAAATCGGATCAACCCGGGAACCGAGCAACATGCGGGAAAGATTTTGGCCATGTTCGATTGTCATACCCGATCGGGTGACCGACAGACCCGATCGGGTATGACCCTATTTTTCAGTTTCTGGGCAATTTCCTAAGATACCCGATCGGGTATCCTATATACCCGATCGGGTATCAGACCCTGCAGCTCCCAAAAGCCTATAAATACACCCCTTTCCTTCACAATAAAATCACCAATTCACATATACTCTTTAGCTCAGTTTAGATTAGTAATTTCTTTATATTTTCTATCATGTTTAGTCTCCAAATGAGGAGCTAAACTTTTCCATCTTGGTTTTGCTACTTTGAAGCTTAATGAATTTGTAAGTTGTGAGTTATTATCTTTAATCTTCTTCCTTGAATATTAATTCTTTCTTTAAATACTATTTCTATATCAATGTTGGGGAGTGTTACTAAGATGACAATTAGTTAACATCTTGACATTAGTTATAGTAATAGTTATTTCTTCCTCTACGTTAATATCGGGGAGTGTTACTAAGATGACAATTAGTTAACATCTTGATATTAACTATAGTAGGATTCATCTTCTTTAATATTCTTCCTTGAGTATTAATTAATTCCTATTCATATTTCATATTAATATTTTGAACATTACTTAAAGGATCAACTAGTTTTGTTTCATATATTAATTATTACTAGAATCGGTCGATTAATACGCTTGTTATTAATTCGGTCCTTTCGCGGTAGTAAACTTGGGTTATTAATGCATGCGTTTCATGGTTAATAAACCAAGGGGAATTAATTATATTGATTAAACCAATAAACCGCTTGTGTTGAGGTTATCAATCTCAATCGTTTTCATCTTGATTTTATTGCTACTATCGAGTGAATATACGACGCGTGTTCTATATTAACTCGGTAGTAAGTTTTATTAATGAACGCGTCTCGTTATTAATAACTACCCTCGATGAATTGGATATACTCCTCGATTGAGTATTCGAGAGGAAGATAGTTAAAGATATAACCGGGATCGACGAACATTTCATTAAGTGGATAAAAGCAAAGCCAAGTCTCCTTCTCATTAATTAAACCACATAACTCGTTCATCTTCGTGTTTAAATATAATTTAAAGTTCATCAACCAAATATAAACCCCCCTTATTGTTACTTATCTATCTCCGTAAGAAGAAAAGTATTCCTTTCCCTGTGGATACGAACCTTACTTCACTATACTACGTATTTGTGTTGTATTGTATTATTACTTTGAGTGCACATCACGACAAAGTGCACGTCAAATTTGGCGCCGTTGCCGGGGATATCAAACCACCCGATCGGGTACTTGAGCTTTTTACCCCAAATCAGACCCAATTCAAGTCACTTCTTCCCCAAACCCCAATGTCCGATTTCTCTCTCCCAAACCCACCATTTTTTGACCCTTTTCCTTCCATATCTCCATCATCACTCAACCAAATTCCCTCAACCCACCACCAAACACTTCCCTCACTCTCCTCTCCACATCATACCCACCAATTACACCATCTCTCCCCTCCCCAAAAATCCGAAACCCTACCCCAAAAACACCAAGTCCGAATTTCAAAGCGTCAAAAGGGCATCAATGGCACCGAAGAGGGATAGGGCCGAAAGTTCAAATGCAAGGGGACAATTCAAGGCTACGAGGATGTCTGTTTCATCCCGAGTATGACGGAGACGAGCACTAGGGACAGTGCTTCGAGCTAAGTGAGGGGGAGTCACTCATTGGTACGTACTTAAGTTTGATACCTTGTAACTAACATCATTTTCTTCAAAAAAAAAAAAATCAAAAAAAAAGGAAAAGAAAAGAAATGCTAGTTAGGTTGAAAACCCAAAAATGGGCAATCTAAGCAAAAATGGCTTTAAAAAAAAATGAGTGAGTGGAAAGGATGGAAAATAAAAAGAGATGCTAGGATGAAAACCTGAAAAGGCTCCTAGGCAAAATGAGAGATATGAGAGATATTTGTTTTTATAGGACATCATTTAATCTCTTGAACATGAAAAGAGGAGAAGAAAAGAGATGAGCATAGAAGGCCATAAAACCCAAGAAGATATTGTTCGTTGAGCTAAACATTCAATGTAAAACTCATGTTTTATCCTTGGTGGTCTTTTGCTTTTTCTTGTTGATTGTTGAACTCTTGAGGACTTGGAACTGTTAAACATTTGACTTTACTCGAGGACGAGTAAAGAAGCTAAGTGTGGGGGAGTTGACATTCATGTAATTTCCATGTGTAAATTTGTGTTTTTAATTAGTTTAGAGTGAGTGTTACTTCGGAAATTACACACTTTTGGTGTAATAGTTTAGTTTGTAAAATATTTGTAATATGTTTAGATTAGGTTTATTCTGAGCTCAAACAGGTCCAAGAACATTTTGGGGACCATTGGTGAACACCACAAGTGGAAGGAAAGTGCAAAAATGCAAGACAAAAAGTGGAGATTTCGTTTTTGGTCTGTACCCGGTCGGGTATGACCTATACCCGATCGGGTACCCTTCTAAAAAATCAAATCGGATCAACCCGGGAACCGAGCAACATGCGGGAAAGATTTTGGCCATGTTCGATTGTCATACCCGATCGGGTGACCGACAGACCCGATCGGGTATGACCCTATTTTTCAGTTTCTGGGCAATTTCCTAAGATACCCGATCGGGTATCCTATATACCCGATCGGGTATCAGACCCTGCAGCTCCCAAAAGCCTATAAATACACCCCTTTCCTTCACAATAAAATCACCAATTCACATATACTCTTTAGCTCAGTTTAGATTAGCAATTTCTTTATATTTTCTATCATGTTTAGTCTCCAAATGAGGAGCTAAACTTTTCCATCTTGGTTTTGCTACTTTGAAGCTTAATGAATTTGTAAGTTGTGAGTTATTATCTTTAATCTTCTTCCTTGAATATTAATTCTTTCTTTAAATACTATTTCTATATCAATGTTGGGGAGTGTTACTAAGATGACAATTAGTTAACATCTTGACATTAGTTATAGTAATAGTTATTTCTTCCTCTACGTTAATATCGGGGAGTGTTACTAAGATGACAATTAGTTAACATCTTGATATTAACTATAGTAGGATTCATCTTCTTTAATATTCTTCCTTGAGTATTAATTAATTCCTATTCATATTTCATATTAATATTTTGAACATTACTTAAAGGATCAACTAGTTTTGTTTCATATATTAATTATTACTAGAATCGGTCGATTAATACGCTTGTTATTAATTCGGTCCTTTCGCGGTAGTAAACTTGGGTTATTAATGCATGCGTTTCATGGTTAATAAACCAAGGGGAATTAATTATATTGATTAAACCAATAAACCGCTTGTGTTGAGGTTATCAATCTCAATCGTTTTCATCTTGATTTTATTGCTACTATCGAGTGAATATACGACGCGTGTTCTATATTAACTCGGTAGTAAGTTTTATTAATGAACGCGTCTCGTTATTAATAACTACCCTCGATGAATTGGATATACTCCTCGATTGAGTATTCGAGAGGAAGATAGTTAAAGATATAACCGGGATCGACGAACATTTCATTAAGTGGATAAAAGCAAAGCCAAGTCTCCTTCTCATTAATTAAACCACATAACTCGTTCATCTTCGTGTTTAAATATAATTTAAAGTTCATCAACCAAATATAAACCCCCCTTATTGTTACTTATCTATCTCCGTAAGAAGAAAAGTATTCCTTTCCCTGTGGATACGAACCTTACTTCACTATACTACGTATTTGTGTTGTATTGTATTATTACTTTGAGTGCACATCACGACAAAGTGCACGTCAGAAACCGGTCCCAAATTCCACTAGTTCAGATATACAATAGTTCACAGTCAAAATGGTTGCAAAGCAATCAAGATTCAGTACATGCAATCGGTCAGAGATATCACTCACGAAACAAATAAAAGAAAGAGTTCATAGTTAACCGAATGAAACCCTAAGGCTTCAGAAGATAACTGCAGCCGCGCTCCAATTCAGGACCTCGTATCAAGTTCTCCTCTGTTTCCTCCTATTTCCAGGAATCCTCCTCTTTCTCTCACCGTTCTCGTTAAGATCAGGCTCTCGCGCAGAAAACCAGCAGCGGAACAATGCTTTCTCACTCTAGAACTCAAGGTTCTCAGCCTCTCTTTCTCTGTCTAGGGTTTTGATTATGAGCTCAAAACTTGAAAGCTCGAGAGACAGAAGTCGCTTATATACTTAGGATCTCCCAAGTATTAAGCGTACCGGGATACTAAATTCAGAAGGCTTAGTCCGGAAGCAACCCGGACAAAGAAAGGAAGGAGAACACAAAAGCTCTAAGTCCAACCCAATAACATAATACTTAAAATGATTGCTTTGCCATCCTATCTAAAATTGTAAACTAAGACACAATTAGAGAATTAGGATTACTAATCTCAACATACTTTCTTGACATGGAGGTAAAACCATATTATCAACCACGCTCATTGTTTAAGTATTTTTTGTAGTAGCACGCGTTGGGATCAAGACATCTCCATTGCTTGTCTGACCTAAGGCACTTAGATTGAAGACAGTATTTGTATTTCTGCACGTAAGCAGCACTATTGGGAATACATTACAATGTCATATATTTGGCTTCAGTTATGTTGGTTCTTGCGGTGCGAATGGAAGGAAAGGTTTCCTTTTATGAAAATACAAGTATTAGTGTAGTCCTGCAAGGCATATAAATAGGATTTACATCATAATGAACCCAAGCAATAATAGTCTAAGTTTATTTTTTAATACCCCTCACGTTGGATCATACTACGTATATGGTTAACATGCCCAACTTGGAGGAAGAAAATGAAAGTGGGTCTTTCTCAAAGCTTTGGTGGAAATATTCACCATTTGCATAGATGAATCTAAATGTATACTGTAGTATATTCTTTCAATTTCCGAGAAATCGATCAACGGCTCAACAAGGAATTAGCCCACGATTAATACAAAGATATCAGTATGCTGCTACATGAGCAAGCTTGAAAATGTACATGGGAAAATATCATCACACAAAAACATTTTCAGCCAAACTGAGTCTTAAGACGAAGGAGTTGAGACTTTAATTTAATTTGCAAAGTGAAAAAGTGGACAAGCTATACCAAAAATTAAAGCTGCACACAGCAGCGTGTCCAAATTAGTTTTTGGAGTAAAAGGAAATGTTCTAAGAAGCTGTTTACCAAATGTATGTTTTGGCTGGTCAAAAAATCAAATCAGCTAAAATGCTAAATACGGTGAGTCGGTGATCCCAAACAAAACCTACCTCTATCCCAAGTAAAGGTTCCCGTCAATTATTCTTGGTCAATGTAAATGGTTCTTAATATTTTCCTTTATGTTTCCAACTTTTATTAAATTTTACTTTTTTTCCAACTATATAAAAC